CCACGATGGTGCACCAGAATAAGCTCCTCCTCCCTGAGCCCGGGGAGGTGGCCAGGCTAAATCGAGAATGGTGGTGAACTCATGCCGGGCAGCAGCCTGGTCTAGGCCATTCTCCAAAAGCTTTGGGAGGGCCTGAGTGGCTCTGGCCTATGCCCTCTGCCCTGAAGGGGGAGCTACCGTTTACGTGGGTTTGTGTCTCTTGATATTCTTAGCATGCCACAGAGCTTTTAATCTAAGGGAGGGGCTATTCTCTTGTACCCAGTCTGCCCTACCCGCAACAGAATAGAATAAGCCAATGTAAAAAGCAAAGGGCCGTTCACGACGTAGGTTATTAGAATTGTATTCAGGCCTAGAACTGGACCCAAGTCGGATCACGGATGTCGCGGGTGGAAGGTAGGACTTCAAGCACAGACGGAGCTAGCTGAGTATCTTCTGGGAGCACAAAGGTGACTTAAGGATATCTTTAAAAATTTTGAAAATTTAATCTTCACAGGGGTTTCTTGGATTATTTAAAATTTCCAGGAGTCTGAGGAGGACAGAAATAACTGCCTTTAGACAATATATAAATACACATTTCACACCATGGGGATATGAATAAATATTTTGGTGTATTTTGAAAAGAAAAATCCTGATGCCTTTTTTTTTTCATAATTGTAGAATGCAAGTTTTATACTAGACAAATATTCGAATTTTAGTATAGTTACTGGGGTGGGGGAGGAATTGGCGCAGTCAAATCGGTGTCAGGGCTAATGTATACCTAGTATTTACTTTATTTAACTTATGTATTATTATTTTTTACTTTGCTGTAGGATATGTGTGCTCACTAGAGAGAGAGAAAAAATGAGAAGTAATCCCCCAGGTCCAGGACTCTAACCACAGTGAACCGTATGGGAGTCTAGCGCTTTATCCACCATGCTACCTGCTGGCCTCAGGGAAACTATGTTTAAGGGTCTGGTGGATAATTTACAAAATGAAAGTTGTCAACAGCACAATAGCCTCAACTCTAAGTTTTATGGAGTTGCAAGAGTCCTTACTAGTACATGGCAAATGCAGTCAAAGGTTTCTTTTGGGTAAAGCATGCAAAAGAGTGTGGGTGGAGAAATAAGAGATTGCCTATCCTCTTTTCTTTTTCTTCTTCTGAACTGAAATTTCGTTCACTTGTGAAGATTTCTAGCTAACTGTGTAAGGTCTGTGTGTTTTAGATAATATTCAGCCTGGTCATAGTCAAATAACAATCACCTTGTCCTAGTTGGCATGAGGCCACAGAAAAAAATGTCTCCCGTATCTTTCCCAGTGTCCCTGCCTTTAGAACTTGTTCAAGACGTAATAAGGTAGGCTATGAAGAGAAAGCAGGTTGGAATCAGAAAGTCTAGATGCTTAACTAGACAAGGACAAGTCACTGAGTCTTTCTACACCTCGCTTATCTCACCCGGAAGATGGAGATAACAGCAACTGCTCATTGCAGATGAGCTGAGGGAGTGCTGGAGAAAACATCCCCAACTGAAATGTTCTTGCTTTCAGGCCTTGGATGATACAGCTAACACATGAACCACTGTAGCTGAAGTACTTGGGCTCAGGAACGTCAGTTTGCCTGGGGAAGGAGCCAAAGAAGTTAGAAAAAGTCCATGAGCACAAGACTCCAGACAACCCTTCTGCTGCAGTTGTGACTCAAGGCTGGTTCTGGCAGGGAGCAGGAGTTGACATGACACCGATTTTATTTCAACGAATATTTTTCTCTACAAACTCTCTTGTCCTTTTCTCTTTTCCCACTCCATACATTACCCTGAACTAGACTGTAGTAAAAAAATGTACGAAAAATGATAGATTTAATAGATCATTTAGATTATTCCTTGTGAAGCAAGGACACTTTTTAAGCAAACTGACATGCCTTTCCTCAAAAAATGTGAGGATTCCCATGTGACTATTAAAATTTCATTTTAACTTTTATTATATTTATTTTCTCCATTTACTTTTTAAATTAACATTAATCACAAATTTAATAAGCAAAGATATGATGAGGAAATTTGAGAAGAGTGAATCTTACCTGTATAAAGCTTATTTTTACAAAAATATCAGTGGCAGATAGACTGATAAGTTTGTGTCACAACTTACTTCTTACAATACTGAATAATACAATACTAAATACTAAAAGTAGAAATTAAAACTCAATACACAATATAATTCTGGATATTTCTCATCACTCTGATGAACCAAATTCTCTATCCCAGTAAGTGAACATATATAGAAGTTACTTTTTTTTTTAATCACAACTGTCTTAATTAGGCTTATTCAAATTATCTCAAGTAAGAGGTAGAGTTATTCTAGAAGCAAAAGAAAAATGAGAGATGGTGGAAGTCGTACAATACAAGAAGAGAAACTTTAGTAGGCTGAGGCCTCAGAGAGATTAGAATTCTAGATCTTCAGCATTTCTCAAGACCTGGGGAGAAGTCCCCAAAGTGCCTCTCCGCCATTAGAGGGATGCGGCTGTTTCCACATATCTGTCTGCTCTTTTATCCAGTCTCCATACATTGGATTCCTCGCTGTGCACATTGTAAGTCTTCTGTCTGACTCAGTTCCTGCTTACAACAGTTTCTGCTGCCTCTGGTCTCAGCTCCCAGAACGTGCCTTAACCTTTGTAATACCCACGCCCACTCATAGCTTCTCTTCAGTTAAAGAGTGTCCTAATTTCACATTCATGAAAAGCAGTACAGCTAGGATTAAAACACCAACTAACTAGTTCACGATACATTGTAAACATCTGAATTACATAGAAACCCTGTAGTTGCTAATAGTTGTTTTTCAATTTTTTTTAAGAGCGAGATTTTTTGCTATAGGGTGCATGTGCTCACTGGAGAGACAGACAGAAAGCGAGGCCATTCCTCCTTCCCTTCTCCTCCATTCTCCTCGTAGGATTTTGGGCATGTATGCATACACACCTGGTGTGAGTTTAAGCCACCAGGTCTAGGACTCAAACCCTGGTTGACTATGTGGGAGTCCAGTGACATTACCATTAGGCCATCTGCTGGTTCCTATTTTTCATTTTTTAAAAACCTCAAATTTTTAGATATTATTTATATTTGAGATCAGCCAGTATTCTCCTGAATCTACTACCTACAATATAATACTAAAAGTACAACTTAAAACAATACACTGTGTAATTCAGCTGTTTCTCATCATTCTGATCTACAGGTTCAATGGGCATAAGGTCTGACTTCCAAGTTTTTTTTTTGGTTGTTTGTTTGTTTGTTTTAAAAAGAACATATTTTTCAAATGTTCTGAAGCTAAGGATCTTCATTTCCAGGCTTACCATGAGTTCCCTCACCATCCCCACTCCTTAGACACGTTTCAGTTGGGGTTTGATTTGGTCTTTTTTTGCAGCAGCACTCCACTTCCCATATAAATTTCAGGTGCTAGAGTATATCAATTCATGTAACAAACAAACCTAAAAATATTGAGATGCCCAAACATAATAAATGTTCGCTTTTCTCACAAGTCAAAAACAAGTGTTGCTTATCTACCGGAGCCTCTCCTCTAAGTAGAGGTTTAGGATTGCAGGTTCCTTTCATCTTGTGGCTCCATCACCTTCCCATCTGGTCCCAAGCTCACTCTGCAGATGGCCAAATAGGGACTGGTTGAGAACATTCTGTGACTGGAAATACCATTTGTAGACATCTAACGATCTCTGCTCTGGTGTGTAATAACTTTTAGCCACATTATTCAATCTTACTCTTAACTGTTATTACATACTGCCCAGTCACTTTGTACCCAAGCCATCATCCATGATGACATCTTAGGATCTGCCTTTGGGACATTTTTCAGTTAGCCCTTTTCACTTAGAATGCCATCCTGCCTCCTCTTGCAGCCTCAACCAGAGATAGCCTGCCTGTCTACAAAATCATTTTCGGTGAACAGCATCCCATGAGGATTCTTGTCCTGTCCTATGTTGCTTTAGATCTTTATGTATAGACTGTATTTATTTTTTATTCTCTAAGGCAAGGTTTGGCAAGCTTTTGATTTCTCTATACAGGGCCAGAGAGTAAACATTTCAGACTTTGTGGGACATCCAGCCACTGTTGCAACTATGCAAATCTGATAAAGCACCCATACCCAATATGTAAATGAATGAGCATGTTGTGTACAAATAAAACTAAGTAGCAAGACAGATCTGGCCCATGGGCTGTAGTTTGCTGGTATCTCTATTACGAATTAAAAAGTCTACTTGTTCATTTGTCTCTTCTTTGATTTAATTCATTTCAATGCACAGAGTATGTCTAATCTCAATAAATGCACAGATTCTAAATGTAGTGGTTCGGAACTTTCTCTCCTACTCTTGCAAAATCTCTGCCAAAGAACAAGAAAACAATACTTCCATTTTCAAGGGAATTGATGAAGAAGACGTTTCTATAAGAGGAAAGACGTTTTTGAAGCAGAATCATAAATGTACTCACATTAAAACCCAGTTGTGCAAGGAAAATGTACATCATCATTTGGGCTATGACTTCCCAGATCTTAACAAAGCCCTTTAGTAATGGGAAAAGGTTAATGTGTAGTTAAGTCTAATAACTTTATGACACAATCTGTCAAGCATAGCTTTTTTTTGGGGGGGGGGTTTAAGTCAGTTTATTGACATGTTGCAATCCACCACCCAGACATATTAAGCATGGAAGATTAAGTTAATTCAGAATTTCCTTTCCAGAAATGCAGGATTTAAAATTACCATGACAGTACAAAATCACTGTAAAGTTTTAGGTGTTTTTCCTTCAATACTTAAATAAACATAATTTCTTCTGGCATGTATTTAATGTTATGTAAACATGATTTATCGTTAGTCTTTTTTATTATTGCAGCCATAAAAAAGCCATAAATGTTTCCAGAGAAAGCGCTTTTTGATATTACAGTATTCTTTCATAAAATAGGAGATATGCTTGTGAGTTCAGTACTATAGTTATAGGCACTGCTTGCACATGTGTATCACTGATGTGAAACCACTGCCCCTTAGTTGATACAGTTTCAAAATCTTGTGGAATATCACCATGAAGAACAAGATTAGAGATACGACTGTTTGCAGATCTCGCCTTGGCATAGGCAGTGTAGTCCTGATCTCATGGTACCACTGTGTTCATCCACTCCATATAAGGAATATAAGACCCTTGTATTTTCTTCAGCAACATTCTTACATTTAAGGGTACAAAAAGGAGCCAAATCTAAGATTTCTGGAAACTTTATGTGTTTATTAACTTTGCGTAGGTTAAAACCAGCCTGCTGAAATCTCTTTAAATGAAGAGTGAGAACAGGAGGAGCAAGAGAAATTAACATCTGCTTTTTGGCATTGGTGTAAATATGCTTCTTTTCACCTTTAATGTTGGTCTTTGATCCATTATACTGTCTCCGTGTACATACTTCACAAAGCAGCTTATTTGCATCTCGAAGCTTCTTATTGTGGGTGAACTGATATAAACAGTGTTGGATGGAACACTCATCAGTACTGAACGCTTCCCTGTTTGTAAGAGTACAGAAAGCAGTTTCTGGATCTTCATTTACAACCTCATATACTGTTGTCCCAGGACTATGACTGTCACTCAGAATCTCTATATTTATTTCCTCAGGCTGAAGAGTGGCATTCAAGCTGAGGTTTTTGAAACCGCTGGTAATGTCCACTTCTCCACTGCTCCCTTCATTCAGGTAGGCACCATTTAAATTCCTGGTACATTCTGTAGGAGAAGATGCTAAAGCCTCCAGATCATTGTCCATGTTCATATTTCTTATATCAACTTCCTCTGTAGATTTTTGATTGTCAGTTACAATTTCTATCACTTTTTCTTGGCCATCCAAATCTTTCTGACTAACACAATATTCCTCATGTATAACTTCTTCTTTTGAAATATGGTCAGATTTAATATCCACTTCCCCCTGAAGTGACATTTCAGCTTCACATTTATTATTTTCAGGATGGTCAATGGTATAGATATCATTTAAGTGAAGAACTTTTCCTTGAATTTTTTGTTGCCTTCGTTGGCTCTTGGCTTGCTTTTTGGCTTGCTTCTTCGCTTTTTTCTGTAAGTGCTTACTGGGTCCTGAAGGAATGTCATTTCTCTCTTTTATATAACTGTCATTATCTTTTTCTTCCTCACTGTCTTTATTTTCATCCTCCATCGTCTTTTTCAGATTTTTATCATTTATACTTTTCTTACCACTCTTAAAATATAGAGAAAATATGAGTCAAAACCAAAATTTACAACTACCATTTAATGAAAGACTTCATGTTACCTAAAAATCTTTCTATCCCCATATTTATTAGTTTTCTTTTCCACGATATTTGAAAATGTATACAGAACAAAATTCATTTATCTCAAATACTAGAAAACAATCTCTTACATATTGGAAAACAAAGCAAATAAACCAAATAGCAAAAAGGCAACATCATATGCAAGTAGTAAAAGAAGAAATCTAATAAACTTTATTAGATACATACTATATCAAATTATATAATAAATATGCCAATTTTAAATGTACTTTCTGTTTATAAGTGATTTATATATCATATCACAGGCATTCCTTTTATTCTTTTTTTTCTTTGCATGTAAGGGATAAGTTTGAGAGAAAGAGAAAAAAATTAAGTTTGGTGGGACCTTAAGTAACAGATACCTAATTCATACAAAGTTAAATAATGACTTATCCAATATTCATAACATGCTCTTTAATACAGCTTTAAACTAAGATAATACTTGAAACCCACAGATGGCATAATGGTTGTATCACTGGACTCCCATGTAGTTGACCATGGTTTGTTCAAGTTCCAGACCTCCGTCTTACAGTCTTGGCAAACATTCTATTCCACATTCATTAAAGCCTTTTTCAAATTACCTTGTTCCAATCCTTTTCTAATGTGTCTGCACATAGGTTCTAAAGATTCAGAGGAATCATCATTTGGAACAGTTTTTCCCTTTGTCCGTTTCTTTCCCATGTTGGCACTTTATGGATTACTTACTGACACAAAATAACAATCCACGGTGGCAGTGCCCATAGCTGCATCCCCTAATGAGCCTCTGGGCTGGACAGCAGCTCCGTCTTCCTCTCGATGACAAACAGCGAGCGACAGAGCCAAAGCCAGAGTGACCTCCTAGAAAGCAACAACTTCTGGAACCTCAAGTATACCTTTTTTTAAAAAAAATGTGGTCATTTTAGGTAGATTTCTAACCCTCCTAAAGGTTCTCATGAAGATCATATCTGAGTTTGAGGAAGTTTCAGGGCCATAGGGATAAAGGAGTCCTCGTATCTATATAATGTCCTCTGTGTTCTTTGGTCTTGCAGCAATCTTGCTTGTCTTCTCAGTTGCCATCCATCTTGTTGGTATTCACAGTTAAAGGAAGCTGTGGGTAAAAGACTGGCCTTTCTTGGGACCAGCAGTTAGCATAATGGCTATGTCGCTGGACTCCCACATAGTCGACCGCGGTTCAAGTCCCGGACCCGGTGGCTTAAACTCATGCCAGGTGCGTGGGCGTGCATGCCCAAGGTACCCAAGCCAGAGTGACCTCCTAGAAAGCAACAACTTCTGGAACCTCAAGTATACCTTTTTTTTAAAAAAATGTGGTCATTTTAGGTAGATTTCTAACCCTCCTAAAGGTTCTCATGAAGATCATATCTGAGTTTGAGGAAGTTTCAGGGCCATAGGGATAAAGGAGTCCTCGTATCTATATAATGTCCTCTGTGTTCTTTGGTCTTGCAGCAATCTTGCTTGTCTTCTCAGTTGCCATCCATCTTGCTGGTATTCACAGTTAAAGGAAGCTGTGGGTAAAAGACTGGCCTTTCTTGGGACCAGCAGTTAGCATAATGGCTATGTCGCTGGACTCCCACATAGTCGACCGCGGTTCAAGTCCCGGACCCGGTGGCTTAAACTCATGCCAGGTGCGTGTGCGTGCATGCCCAAGATCCCAAAAGGAGAATGGAGGAGAAGGGATTGCGGCATGGCCATCCCCCCTGGGGGGTGATTTCTCGCTTTCTGTCTCTCTGTCTCTCTTCGTCTGGCTGGCGAGCACACACGCCCTATGGCAAAAAACTCTCCAAAAAAAAAAGAGACTGGCCTTTCTCTGTCCCATTGGCTTTTCTCAACTATTCAGCCTTATCTCTGACTTAACCTCATCTCAACTTTCCAGAGTACTATGTAGCCCTCTGAATATCCCCACATCTTTTTATCTCATCATGGCCTGGGTTGTCAGCCCTCAACATTGATAAAGTATTACTTATCTCCCATAACTCTGGTCAGTATGACATGTCTGCTGATATTCAGCTTACTTGTTTTCCACACCCTTTCTTCTCACACAAGAATCTGATTCTTACACATGCAATCCACAGAAACTCGGTGTCTCAGAAATGCCAGGAGAAGAATGAAGAAGGGATATGGCATGACCATTCCCCCTTGGGGTGATTTCTCACTTTGCTTCTCATTATCTCTGTCTCTTGCTCTCTCTTCTATGGCAAAAGTCCCTAAGAAAAGGAAAAAAAAAGAAAGAAAGAAAAGCTTAATTCTAACAATACCTCTACTTAACTACAGTGCCCAGTCAAGTTAACTGGGTGATAGAGGAACCTTCTGGAAATTAAATCCAGGTTTCCCATTTACATGGACAGTTCTACTGGCAAAGGAAAAACAAAAATCATTCTGACATCTACCTCTGTCTCACTTCTCTGTCCCTGGCTTTGCATCATAATTTCCTCCTACATGTGGCAGCAAGAAATTTGGCCAAGCATTAATAGGCTTTTATTTTCTTCCAGACTTAAGGAAACTGTATCATCATCTGTCCCTTCTTTGTTTTTAATATGCTAACATTTTAAATAACTTATTTTTTTAAAATAATTCCACTATTTATCAAGGAATTCACAAGGTCTGTTTTACAGAACTCTGATTATCATAAAAACCTTCTAATGTTTGTTTTCAGATGACCAAAATAAAGCTGAGCAATGCAGTTAACTTAAGATCATGCCACTTGGAAATCCTGCAGCTCAGATTTGTACCCAGTAACTCCAAAGCCCAAGTTCTTTCTAGAGTATAACAGGAGTTGGTTTGTTTTTCCCAGAAAACTTTCCATTGTAACATATATGTTAAACTCATTATCTTGATAATGTTATAAGCATAATAATTAATTAATTCCTCCTAATCCTTCCTAATGCTGTCCTTAATAGCCCCATTTTTGGGACCAACAGATGGTGAAATGGTTACCTTGCTGGACTCCCGCATATTCAACCACGGTTCGAGTTTCGAACCAGGGGCTTAAAGCCACACCACACTGGGTGTGTGTGCACACTGGATGCATGGGCACGCTGGGTACGTGTGCTTGCATGCCCAAGATCCCGAGAGGAGAATGGAGGAGAAAAGATTGCGACAAGGCCATCCCCTCCTGGGTTGATGATTTCTCGCTGTCTCTCTCTGTCTGTCTGGCAAACACACTCACCCTATAGCAAAAACCTCTCAAAAAAGAAAAAAAAAAGCCCCACTCTTCACTTCAGCTAAAGCAAACAAAATAATTAAATTAAATTAAAAACATTACTATTGATATTTCTGGACTTCTCCCTGTTTGGGAAAAATTGAAAGTTAATTAAAGTTACCAGTGCTAAGCTTTGCTCTAAGCCTATTGCTTTGCTAAACATACTAATCCAGCTCCCTCTTGCCCTGCTTGTGCTCTTAAATTTCTTGTATCCTACTGAAATAAAAATCTTGGGAAATATGATTGGGTGGATAATGAACTGATTCCTGCAACTCCATTCTAACTGCCTTCTAACATTAGGTGTTCAGAAACTAAAAATCTATTGGGTTGTCAGGAAAGTCATGGTGTATTTTTCTATGCAAAATTGTGTCATGACTTTGCCAACAACCCACTGCATGCTCCAGATTTTCCTTCAGGTAGGGTTGTGGAGGAGTTCTAGCTTATGCCAATCCAATGCATTAGCATCCAACTTTGACCTACTCTGCACTGCATGGGAAGGGGACAGAGTACAAGGCACTCATTTAGTTCACAGGAGCCATGGTAAAGAAGGAATGTTCTGGGGCTGGCGGTGGTAGAAGTAGCTCTCTGATTTGGTGAATTCTTGATGATAAGTTACCAGAAGTGTTAAGATTCCTGAGATGAACTGGTAGAAGCTTCCTGACAAGTCACAAAGCAGCTCTCTGGGAAACTCAGGAACTTTTAAAATCATTCCTGGGGGCAGTTCACTCTGCTTAACAGTTCTGTAAGTTCTCCTCACACTAAATAAATCCCTGTGCTTAGACCAGGTAGGCTATTGGGTGTTGAAAATGTCAGGATGTATTTTTCTGTTAAAAAAAAAAAAGTGTAACTAAGAATCTTGACTAGTATGTGAATGTGTGAATGCAAAATAGAGAGTAGGTGTCAAATGCTCTAATTTACTGTGGAGAATATTGGCCTGATCATGTCCAATTTGTGAGACCTGTATGAGCAGTGGGTGATTATTCCTCTGTTGGGTAGTATTAAGAGTAAAAGATTATTCTTGAAGCACAGCACAATTCATTTTCTGACTTTTCCTTCTATTTGCTTGTATTAAAATTTTATAGACTTTGTATAGCTTCCATACATAGCTTCCTCACCTTATCATCTTTGACCTGTTGTGGTTGTTTTGTTTTCTTGTTGGTTATGGTGATTTGTTTGGTTGGAGGAGAGGGTAGGGAGTAAGTCTAAGGAAATTGTTCCTGAAGCCTTCATCAGGAAAAAGAGGTAGAAAGCTCTTTGGTCCTCCCATCTAGCCACCATCAGAGAGTTCTGAATAATGTGGATATTTTATTTCCATTTGACTCCTTGTGAGTTTTCTCTGTGGTTTAGAACTCTAAAGGGTAGAAGGCCAAAGCAACTAGTATCCATAAACTTCCATCAGTCAAAACTGGAACTCACCTTACAGCTCATTCATTTGAACCCCTAATATTGATGAAGATGCTGATGCCCAGTGTTATAGAACTGGTGAATGGAAAAGCCTAGACTAAAACTTAAATTTCCAGACTGTGAGTACAACTGTTATTTTCACCATAGCAGCTAAAGATGTTTGAATTTAAGAGACCGGTTTCAAACAGTGGATTAATTTTCTAATTCTCCACCCAGCCCATTTCACTCAGTTATATATCCTATCTAATCCCTGGAAGCAGTTGGGTTTGTGATTCTTAATTTAGAAGAATTCTTCATA